GACTATTCCATTTCCCCTACCCAATAATTACCAAATAACATAGTGTATACTTATGCATGTCTATTATACTTACATACGGACACACTTCTCTGTAATAGTATCTCTATATAACAGTTATTTATTATAAAAGTCAAGTTTTTGTGAAAACCGATTTTTATGTTATGTTATAATATATGTCCTATATAACAGTACTTCACTATTGCAATCAAAAAATATTGGAACAAACGAAGTTGTTATAGATAGATTTGACTGTTATTAAGTTTCTCTAGTGTTATATCCAGAGGCGGGGCCAGAATTTGAATTTATAGGTTTTGGATTTTAGGACACGACTTCAAGTGCTAGCAATTAGGTTTTATATTTACTTTTGTAAATATTTAGTAATTTTTTATACCACATATATTAGGTTTGAATCAAAATTATTGAGTTCTACCAAAACCACATATTATATACACCTCCTCCCACAGTGATATCTTCAGCAATTCGCTCACTATAATGAGGAGAAAAGGTTAAAACGGTTCATTTGTCTTTCGATATATATATATATAAAGTTGGGAATGAGAAAGCTGAAGTGGCACTCTCTAAATCAAGGAAATGTATTTATCTATTTTCTCAATTTTTGGAATTTTTTCCTATTTTAATATAATATTTAATTACTTAAAGCCAATAATTTATGGTTTGAATTTTAGCTCCATAATAAATAAGGGAATTGAAAAAACAACAGTATCAAAAATGAAAGTCATCCGTATTTTCCCCTTTCTTCTTTGTTCCAAAATGCCATATATTTTCCTTCCACTTTGTTCATTTACCTACCCATTAATTTATTGTAAATTAGTAAAATCTGAAGAGGTGTCTCACATTTATTACACCCTCTTAACTCTCTCGAATGAGTTACGTATTTGAGGCTTTCTGAAACGGTACAACTGAAGAGTTATGCCTCATTTACTGTACCTCTCCAAATAATTACAGTGCCTTCCCTTTGAATTTTCAGACATATAACAACATCCTTAGCCCTTCTTTCTCTTTAAATTTTTCGTTTTCCTTTTGTTCCTTTTTGTTCGTGAATTCTGTTTTGTGTTATTTTTCATAGATAGTTTGTTAAAATGTTCATTGAACATAATCGAAATGCTTGCCTTTCTCTCTCAATTTGTTGGTTTTTTTTTATCTTCCCAGCTATTGCTTATATATTATGCAATTGATTTTTTAATCTTCTCAGTTACTGTTTATTTATTATGTAATTAGACATGATAATGAAAGTTTTAACCGTTGTCAATTATTTTCTCGGATATCCACGAAGAGATGTAATTGTTGTCAATAACTTATTACGATTAATCGGTTAAAATTTCTGACTTTTAATTTTAGAGCGCAGTGTCGATAGCCTGCGCACCTATTTTAACCAACTGCAGGTGATTCTTACTTTAATATTATTCTATTAGACTAATTATGTTGTTTATGTAATTCTTGAAAACTTTAATTAAATTAGGTTCATCTTGGACATATTTCTTTCAGAGAAATAACTGAATATAACATGGAAAGAGGTGTGTCTTCTTTAAAACAATTGTGTTAAAGAAACCAATTTCTTCTTTCCGCGACAAATGATTGAAATTTATAGAGTGCACTAGTAACAAAGGCGGATCAAATTCCTTAGGCATCTCTTATGTTCTTTGCTTTCTTCTCATAAATTAAGTTGTACGCATAGTCTTTGTGAGCGTGCGTGTATATATATATATATATATATGAAACTATTTTTTGCTAAACTTGAAGAGTTTAGCGTGATACGATTGGTTACACTAGGCTAGGGGTGTACAAAGGAAATTGACAAACTGTACTAACCCGATAATCTGAGTCAAACCGAGAAAAAAAACCCGACTATGGTTTGGCTTGATTTGATTTGGTGTTGGAAAAAAAACCCGATCATAATTGGTTTGGTTTGGTTTTAACTAAAGAAAGTTAAACCGAAACCAAACCAACCCGACATTATATTTATTGAAATTTTTGATATATAAATATATTTATTGTGATGTAATTTATAAATATTTCTTAAAAAATTTCATAATTTTATCTTTTAAGGTATTATCTTAAGGTTGGACTTACAACTTTTGATTGTTCCAATAAGTTTTATAGTCATTAATATTAGTAAATTAAATAATGCTAACAAAAGCTCAAACCAAAATCAAATCAATACTAATGCTAACAAAAGACATTCAATTATATAGTCAATACTACGAAGGGGAATGTATTGAATATCTATTTTTGTTTTACAATAATTTAGATTTAAATGCATCACCTATTTTTATCTTTTTTTAGCGTTTAGTCATGTAATTAATACTCCCTTATTAGTCTACTTACTTTAGCATGACTTATAGCCTGTTTGGCCAAGCTTCTAAAATCTGCTTATTTTGAGAAGTGCTTTTTTTCAAAAGTACTTTTAAAAAAAAGTGTTTTTTGGTGAGAAGCAGTTTGTGTTTGGCTAATTAATTTAAAAAGCACTTTTGAACAGTAATTAGTATTTGGCCAAACTTTTGAAAACTGCTTCTAAGTGTACTTTTCTCAAAAGTGCTTCTCAGAAAAATGCTTTTGAAGAGAAGCTACTTTTTTCTGCTTCTCCTCAAAAGCACTTTTTACCTTTCAAAAGCTTGGCCAAACACTCGAAAAAAGCACTTTTGGCCTAAAAAAAAAAGCTTGGCCAAACAGGCTATTAGTACTTTTAGATTATGTTTATTTTTATTATGGTTTTTTAATTAGCAATATATTTATATTACATAATTTTATTGTCTTTATTGTTGAATATTTTAGGATAATGCCACGACACATCTCATATTTTGTACATTAGTTTCTTGAAAAATACTTTATATAATTGTATCTTACAAGGAGTAAAGAAATATTTTGAACACAAGTTATATGTTTTGTTCTATGAAAATTTTACCGGAAAAAAATCCAAAAAACCCGAATAACTCAAAAATCCGAGAAAAATCGAGATTGAAAAACCCGAATTTTATTGGTTTGGTTTTGGTCTTTAGATTTAATAACCCGACACAATTGATTTGGTTTGGTAATCATAAAATCCGAACCAATCCGACCTATGTACACACCTAGGTTGTTTTCAACTTCCTTAAAACAAGTAAATGATTAATGATTAAGGAAAAGTGAAATGGTATATAAAGGGGAGTAGGAAGTAATAACTCCACTTGTTCCTCCCATTTCTTCTCCTCTATTTTACCTTGATTGTTTAAGCTTGATTATATTTTGTAGTCTTGAAATTAATATAGTATCACAAAAATATAAAATTAACTAGACTTGGGTTTAACTTTGTTAACTATCATTTGCATCTATATTCATTTTTTGTGTCACGTTTTAACTTGTGTCTGCTTTGCAAAAACAATTACAAGCGTACCCGCTTTTTCGCATAACTTCAGCATACGGGGCTGAAGTAGCAAAGGCAATCACGCAAAACTTTAGCATTCTAGTAGACGGACTTGAAGTTCAGCTCTAGAGCTGAAGTTTTTGTTTTGTAACTGGTGAACTTCAGCTCTAGAGCTGAAGTTTTTGTTTTTGTAACTGGCGAACTTCAGCTCTAGAGCTGAAGTTTTTGTTTTTGTAACTGGCGAACTTCAGCTCTAGAGCTGAAGTTTTTGTTTCCCCCCCCACTTTAACCCTCTTATCACTAATCACATACCTTGCTCAATAGCAACAAAAACACCACATCCGCGCACGCACACAAATTGCACTTGCATAATAACAAGTTTACCTAGTAATTATTTTCACAGAATTTATGTTTATAACAGCAACATGTCAAAGCACAAACATTGTTAAATGCCATAAAAGGTGAAAATAACACTAAACAGAACAACAATTAAAAAGATGAAGGAAAAAAAAGTACTTCAAAACCAAACTCAATTTTTAACAGACACAGTCCTCGAAACAGAAAACCAAGGTCCAAAAGAAAAATGAAACATATACAGAAATAGAGGTTTTTGCAATCATCCCATGAACTGAAGTTCCATAGCAGCACCAACAGCAGCAGAAGGAAGGAGGAGGAGGAGGAGGAGGAGGAGAAAGGAGACTGAAGTTGTCACACCCTTTTTTTCAAACCAACCTTACTAAACCCTTTTAAAATAATAAAAAGATTTAAAGCTCAAAAGGTTTTTTAATTAAAAAGTGACAAAATATTGTGTTTAAAAGGAAATAACTCAGAGTCGCCACCTGATATTGATTTCAGTGTGCCAGCTCACCGTTTTTAAAAATAATTTTTCACACTTTGAACTCCAAAACATAAGTCTGCACCAGAGATTCGGGTAAGGGGGTTCATTTGACTCGGGGAGAAGGTGTTAGGCACTCCCCAAGTCCTGTGAAAGTCACGGTTGCGTACTCAATCTAGTTGGCTTTTAAAATATTCCAGTTGAGGTAATAACACACAAAAAGAAAATAAACAATCAAAAAAGGCTCGAGGTCATCCCCACCTAAATGAAAGAAAATTAAAAGAAGAAAAATTAAAGTTCTAAATTATCATACGCTATTTCTTCTACGATGTTCGCCACGACCTCCAATTACATTCACTTCGGGGCATACTCCCTGAAATAAAATATATACAAATCCCTCGGTGTATTTTCCGGATAAATTTAACTAAGGGAACGACCTCTCGCCTCGAAACTAATAAAAATCCTAAGGTTTGCCTACCCAAGTGTGGTCAGCCTAAGCATGCTCCCATCGATTAAAGCCATAAGACAAAAATAAGAAATAAATTGATAAAACAATTAAAGTCCAATTTATTCATGTGTTTAATGTTACTTCCCCCTACGAACCCTTCAAACGAATTTATCATTTCCCTAACTTAATCAAGAGCCCTGACCCATCATACTTCCAAATGTAACATCTTACTAGGAGTTAATCTTCATCATATTTTACTAATCAACGATACTAACTTAAACGTGAAGAATTCTTCTGGCAGAAACTTTCTATATCCTCCCTTCCCCCTTGTTCATGAACTTAGAAAAAGAACAACATTAATAAGACACATAGAAGAGATTGAAATTAATGAAACCAAGAGAGTGAGAAGTACCATAACTTAATCACATATTAATCAAACATTAATCAAAATATAAAGAGGAGGAAGAGGAAGAGGGGAATGGACCTGATACAGCAATCTTCCTTTAATAACAAGGAAGAAATCAGCGAGTACAAGCCTTGTGCCAAAATCCAAGCGAGAAAGTAAAGACGGAATGATGTAGGAACTGCGAACTGGAACACGCACGGCACCGGAAATCTCGGACTAAACCAAGCAAACTCCAGTGATAAATTCGAGCCACCCTCAAACTCAATCAACTTCCATTTTTTAAAATTAAATCAAAATTAGAAGAAGGAAACAGAAATGTATTTTTTTGATTTTATTTTTTAAACTTGATTAGAATTTAACCAAACCACAAAAATATTTTTGTATATGTTTTTGAATCTATATAAAAAAAAACGAAAATCAGAGATAAAAAAAAATTGAAAGGCAACCTTGTTTTCCCTAATCAAAACGTCTGAAATCTCCTCTCGTCTCTCTATTCCGAGGCCCTTCTGTTGCTCTTCCTCTCGGCAATCTCTATCTCGTCCCTTCCCCATTGTGTTTCTAGGGCATTCGGTTGATTCTTCTCTCCCATGATATCAAAGATCAGACTGCTGAATTTTCGTATAGAGATGCTGAATGGTGAAAAGATAATGGAATGAGTATGTATGAAATAGAAGAGGCCAACAGAAAATTCTACATTAGGGTTCGTTATTCGCTGATGGCTTAGGGTGGTCTTCTAGGGCATGTGTTCAGTGTCTGTTCGTTGCTTGGGAGTGCAGCTGGCGGGGGGTGATTTTGGTTGGTGAAAGGGAGTGGTGGGCACTGGCTGAAGGGGTGGTCGTTTTTAGGAGTTCGTTGGTCTTCTTCTTTTGTTTTTTCCGTTGAGTGGTGTTGCGGCTGGGTTGGAGGTGAAGAAGCAGCCTCTGTCGAGATTGGGGTCTTAGGTTAGAAGAAGAAGATCCTCTCCATGGGTCTTTTGGGTTAAGGAGAAGGGTCTTCAAATTGGGCCTTTTTGGGGGGATTTGAAATTGGGCTCCATTTGGACAAGAAAAATTGAAGATTTCATTAATAAATTCAAGTTTCTTCCAAATTAGTATAAAATACTTGTAAAACATAAAATCACTCCTAATTGATTAAAGTAAAATTAAAAACTAAAAGTGAAACTATTTTTTTGGTATTTTCAAAAATTATATTAAAATAAAATAAAAATAGGTTCAAAGTAATATATCCTTCTAAAAATATCTAATACGTGAATTAAATAGAGAAATATGAAACTATTTTTTGTATTTTTTCAATTTTGTGATAAAAATAATATAAAAGAGTCAATATTAGTTAAAATAACTATATTAGACCTAAACTAAGTATTTAAATGCTAAAATATGTAAAATCTTGGGGAGGGTCAAAAATCACATGTCTACAGAAGTTATTTAAAAAGTGGGTACAAATTAAAAGTTTTTAAAAAAATGGGTATAGGTTAAATGGGGGCGACCAAATAGGGCGCCCCGTGCAATTTTTACTTCTAAATGTAACATGCTCTATGTATTTGGTGTTTTAGAAGTTATATTTTTTCCATTTTCCCTTTATCTTTTACCTTATTTGGAAATTCAAAATACAAAAGAAGCGAAAAAGAATGAAGAGGAAGGATACTGCAAGCTATTATAATAAAAATATAGAACTAAACTGAATATTGAATTTTTAGATTTATACTCCTGAAATTAATATTATCATAGTATTCTTACTATAACACATAAAGAACTATTTGTTTTGTTGAATTTTAAATTGTAGTATCTTAAAAGCAATAGTATAATATTTCTTTCTTTTGTTTTCGGAATTGAATTGCTTAATCTTGATATTATCATTTTGTTAGCATGATGTAAGATATCCTCAAATTTTGGCAAATGGCACAATGTCAAATTGTCAATACATAAAATTAATGTTCATTAAAGCATTTTACTTTAACCAATAATTCAATTATATTTTCATCGAAAAGAAAGATTTCGCCCAGCAATCTAGACCTTCAAATTAGCCCCGTAAAGTTCTTGGAAAGGAGTAAAGTGTACGCTTGTATAAAAATAGAGAAGCAACTCTTGAGAATTTTTTTTTTAAAAAAATAACCTTAATACAATTATATCATAGTTGATAATGTTATGGTTAGAGAATATAGAGAAGATAAAATTATTATATATAGAGTAAAGATTGATTTTTAATATTAAAAATTTTAGCAATAAATTTTTATACATATTCTAATAAAGACCGCGCGAAGCGCGGACAAATTAACTAGTTAATCTTATAATTCCATCTCCTATTTATTTTGTTGTTTGATTGAGTTTAGTAGATGTATAGTAGACCCTTATTGTCCTCCTTTTATTGTTGTTTCTTATGTTATTGTGCTTTGGTTAAATAACAAGATTTTAGTTATTTGTGTTAAACAGAAATAAAGAGGAATATTTGTATATCGTGCCTAATGTAGTCATGTTTTTGGCAATTTTAAAGTATTCACTTCACACATAACAAACAAGTCTTTTTTTCATTCCCAATGATTGAAATACCTAATATAATTGACACTAGTAAATATAATAAGTTCAGCGCAGAATTATTCTGGAAATATTATTTTTGCAATGAGTAGGATTTGCAAAATAAATCATCGGCAAAATAATGAAATAATTATGGTGGAGTAANTGCAATCAATATTTATAAAAATTAAAATTTATTTAATTTAATATAAAAAATATTATATATTTATCTATATTATATTAAAAATAGTAGCGGATAAAAATATTAAATAAAGTGAAAAGTTAAAAAAGATCATATGAAAACGTGATAATATTACATATTAGATAACATTATAGTAAAAGTAAGAAAACTAATTAAAATTCAAAAACATCTATACTAAAAATAAAAGAAAAATACTATTTGAACTTGAGATTAGAAAGACCTTAAAGTTATGATGAGTACGCTCAAAATACAGATATGACGACAAAATAATCTTGCTAGATAAAGAAAACTAAAAAATTGATACTAATGAAAATTATGATGAGTACGCTCAAAATACTAAAAAATTGATACTAATAAATAAATATTTTATGTAGGTAATTTCACTAATGAAAATTAAAAGTGAAATTTGTATCTTGAAATTAAAAGAAAATACCAAATAAATGCACGTAATACCAAAAATTATTATAAGAATATTCAATAGATTTGAAACATTATAAAAGAACTTATGTATTATTCCCTTTGTTTTAGTCTAGATGACCAATTTCGCTTATCGAGAGTCAAATTGCATAAGGTTTGACCAATATTTTAAAATATATTTTGTTATCATATTGACACGAGAAAAATTGTAACTTATAGTACTTTTCGTGTAGTTTTGTATATCTAAATTTTAATTTTAAAATACTAAATTGAATTTAGCTTCAAAATTTAGTCAAATTGATTGTCGATAAGAGAAATGTGTCATCTAAATTGAAACAGAGGAAGTAATTTTTAGACTAATTTATAGTTATATTTTAAAATAAAATATGATATTATTTTGAATATAGGTAAAATATTTATGTAAAAAGTTAGCTAAAATTTCTTAGTAAGGAAGAGAATGTATAAAGAGGAAAATAGAGATAGTGCGAGGATACTTTTATTTTTAAATTTATTAAAATAAATAAATAAATTTCTTAAATAATACTCAAAAAGGTTATTAATAGATTTAAATAATGAAAGAGATCTGAATAAGAGGATAATAGTGTAAAAACACATTAAATTTCGAGAATAATTTTTTTTACATTTATTAATAATTATTAAAAGGGTAATAAACAAGACATTAAGTCAATTTATAATGTAATAAAAAATCACATTACAGTATAACAATATTAAGTAATAAATAATGTAAAAACTATAAGCAATGAACAATAAAGAGAAAAAAATTATGTCTAACAATGTAGAAGGATAAGACTTATTTGAATTTGAGATAAAAAAAATAAAGTAGTAGTAAGAATTTTGTTAAAATAATATAATTTAATGTACTCAAACAAGACAGATCACAACGTTGCATATTTAGTATTCCTTAATATTGACCGTAAAATATAATACAAGTGTCAAAATTATGAAGTTGGGTTCTTACAGATATAGAAAAAGAAAATATGTTATCTACTATGAGATTTGAAAATGGTTTCATGTGATGCTTCTTAATTAATATTAAATAATTATTTATAATCTCTATATAGAAGATTTAATTTTAAGGTTATTTGCACATAATTAAAATAATCTAAATCATTGTTTGACATGAATTATGTCCGCACATCGTGCGGGTACTAATACTAGTTATATTAAAAGGAGAGTAGTTTACAATGTGGTTAAGCCATGTGGCAAGCTAAAATGAAGTCACTTGGCAATTTTAAGACAACAAAAAAAATCTAGGCGTAATACATACGGAGACACCTAAAGTTGGCACAATCTTTCACTTAGACACTTAAATTAGGCCTCTTTCCAATTAAACACGTTTCCTAGGCAATTCTCATACCAATTAGACACGTTTTTTGCTGGCTTATTAATTAACCAAGCGCGTGTTCTGCAATCTCCGTCTACGTGGCAAAAGTAACCATTAAAAATCGTGCCACATCATTTTTTTTGTCCACCTCAGTTATATAGTGTTATTTCCACTAAAATTCAGCTCCGGCAACATGGTTAGAGGCACTTCTCAAATCCGATATCGAAAATGAAGTGGTTCTTAACCCTTCTTCTCCCATTTTACACTCACCCAACAAACCACCACCCCACCCA